TCCTCTGTTGAAGTATTGACGAAATCCAAAAAGCGTTGGCACATATAGGAGGAAGCGCTCACACGCAGAATAGCGAACAATTTCCTCGCTGTCTTGGCTATTACCTGTAGAAAGCATGTGGAGCTATACCGGAAATCAATACTGCACTTAACTATTCCATGTCATCAAGAACTAACATTTCTTCCAGTCTTACCAAAACCAACAGCAGCCTTCATTAGATGTTGCACGCACACTCGAGCGCGTCCATGTACAGCAGTCCCCTAGATCGTACAGCGCACATACACCTTGGTTGCATTTCATCTGGGTCTTGGGAATTCCACTTCACGCACTCCTGCCTAACCAGATAGTGCGCAACCCAGTGACGGCAACACCTTGTAATGGCACGGGCTGCCCGAAAAGTGTGGATCAGAGTACCGTTATACTATGCAATAAAGAACACCAGAAAAAGTCCTCTGCCATCGCGGAACGGCTCCTCGCTGCTCTTGTTCCTTCATCTTCCCCTCCAGACGCGCATACGTACGCACGCACACCTCTATCCGCCTTCGCACTGCGTGCACGATAACGTAAGCGTAGAAACACGGGTCACGCCAAACGCATGCCCTCAGAAACACTCACAGTCGCCGCTCACATTGCTGAGTGTAGGACTCTGCGCACTTTCCCAGCTATCGGTTATTCTGTGCGCGTACTCGCTGGGCCAACAAAACCCAGTTGAAGCGGAAGCACGCATTAAGGCACTGTCTTCTAGGCAGGCGCATGCACTATACGCGCTCCCAAGAAAAGTAGCATGCAATTCAACCAACCTTCCCTTGAGGAACGCGGATAAAGTCCCTGATCTGCCAACGACGCAACGTGTGAGGTTCGTCTGCTTTTGAGGCGCTGAGGTTATTCGAAAGGTGCTCCGATAGGTAATACATGCTGCTCACGGTCAGAACCTTCGCCATATTCCTGGATTTTCGGGACCTGAAGAACCGAAGGAGGAAGAAAACCGTAGCAACTGTTGCAGACAGGAGGGCAGCCGCTCCCGCTGGAGATCTCGTGCGTTGCCACCTATGTGCAAGTGAAAGCGCACTGCGACCCCATGCAGGAGCTCCACTTTGTTGAATACCGACATCAGAGCCCGAAACAGGAACGGGAGGGACTGGGTCGTTCTCGGCCGCCTCCGCTAGAAGTGCCGAGGCGGCAGCCAATATTGGCAATAATACAAGCATTTCGCAGCTCAAAGGAGAATATTATCGAGTTTTTAATACTACTCCAGGCCTTAGTCCTATAATTTCAATGTTAATATGAGCAGGGTACTTCCTTTGAGCTAAGGCCCACTCACCGCGGAGGCGTCTGTGTAGCGGAGTGAGCCAAGCCAAGCATGGGTCTTCCATGTGACTCAGTACGTAAGATAGAAGCAGCCTTGCCTGTACTCACTAAAGATCCTGAAAATGCATTAAAAGGCAGAAAAAACTGTTCTTCAAGGATTTAAGTCTCTCAAGAGAAATGCTGTGTTTGCTGGTGCATCTGCTGCTGCAGCGTTCTTCTTTTGGGTTGGTAGACATAGCATATTCAACAAAATTACCATCTGGATAAGGAGTTCTCGCCTCTACTCCCCCGCACGTGGAGGCTTTATTTGCTCCTAAAGAATGGGTGAAATGCATACCCGATATTCCCTTAACAATTGCTTCATGAAGGGAGGCTGGAACTGGTTCGTAACACTTGCTCTCTGGCATTACTCCATGACAGAAGCGAACCGGAATGTAGGTAAAGGCATATTCAACAAAATTACCACCTGAATAAGGGACTGTCGCCTCTACTCCCCAGCACAGGGAGGCTTTATTAGCTCTTGAAGAATCTGTGAAATGCAAATCGGACATTCCCTAAACAACAGCTTTATAAAGGTAGGCTGGAACGGGTTCGTCTTATAAAACGCTTGCTCTCTGGCTTCAATCCATGACAGAAGCGAGTTGCGATGCAGTTAAAGGCTTGAAACAGGAGTTTCCCAGAAACAGCTAACATCCTTCCCCTGTCCACAGGCGTCGTGGGTGTTGAGCTCAGTGCCTGCGTGTTGCGGGGAGGAGGCAAGAGGAAATGGGATTACAGCGCACTTGGCTGCCTTGTAATACAAGCCCGCCTCACGCGTGCAGGCAAGGAAGCTTCACCGAAACTTCCTTTACTGCATGCTTTACCTCTAATACCTTACAGAACGTTTGCATCTGCTTACACGCAACCTACCAAGGCCAAGTGAAGTATCCTATGCTAACTGCAGTCAGACCAAGATACATCTGCCCCTCCGTCGGCGGAAAGCGCACGTCCCCGTGTGCCTACTTCCATGCAGAATGTGCCACGTCTCCTGCTGCTCGTACTGCCGGTCCCGTTGCGGATGCTGCTCACCGTGCAGTAAAACACCCCTATAACGCTTGTTCTCTGGCCTTTATCTAGGACAGAGGCTAGCTGCAATGTAGGTAAAAGCAGCGAACCCCCTTCACCTGCCCCTAGGCGTCCTGGGCGTTGAGCTCAGGGCGTGGGTGTTGTGAGGAGGAGGCAGCCAGAAAAGGGGTTGCAGCGCACCCCGCTGCGGCTGGTAGTACAAGCCAGCCCCACGTGTGCACGCAAGGAAGCTGCACCGAAGCTTCCTTTGCTACAAGCTTTACCTCTGAATGTACTTNGCTTTACCTCTGAATGTACTTGTAGAACGTTTGCAGGCGTTTACACGCAACGTACCAAAACCAAGTGAAAGCTTTTGCGCTAACTCATGGTACATCTGGCCCCCCATCAGCGAAAAAGGCGCACGCCACCGTGCGCAGATGGCCGTGTTGAACGTGGTAGGCTGCTGCTGGTGCGGCGGCTCCTGGCGCTGCTGCGTCTCGGGCGACGGCTCCTGATGCTGCTGCTACAGCTGCAGCTGTTCACCTCGCAGATGCCCGCCCTGGCGATGATACGATAGGGAAATTGTTAAAAGGGTTGGTATGTGTTGTCAATATCGAGTCATATCTGTGGATGAGTGCAATCAGCGCATCGGTTGCCGCATCTGACTCGAAAGACGGTCCCTCCGCACCGGCTGAACACGCTGGCTCGCTCTGGCAGTCACTGTAAATGTAGAGCAAGCAGGAATTAAAAGCAGATTAAAAGGAATGGCCGAGCCTGCAGACTGAAACTGCTGCGATGCCGGCCCAACCACGTCCTCAGCTCGTGGCTAGCCGCGGTGGCGCCTGACGCCGCTCTCGGCGCCGCCACTGGGTCTGGGCTTGCAAAGGCAGCTGCTTTGCTATAACTGCTGCTTTGAGCCTGAGTCTCTTGGTTTCTTTTTGGTTGCTGTCCGGGCCGGGCTTTTCCTCCCGCAGCGCCGTGTCTCTGCCGGCTCAGGCTCCCGGGAAAGCCCCAGTAAAGCCCCAAATGTAATGCCCAGCCTGTGAAAAACTCCCCTTCAAAAGGGCCACTTGAAGGGGAGTTTGGGGCGTTAGGGATCATATGGCCCTCCGAACATGATCCCATTCACTTCAGTAGATGCACCAGTCTCTGCCAGTATCTCTGCGTCTTGTGTCCCCAACTACAACACAAAAGCAGATTAAAAACACAATTGTGAGGCCTGGTACGGATCCAATTTCCCTCACACGATGGGGTGATGCGAATCCATAACTGGAGGTACTGCGGGCCCTGTAAGCTGATGAGATGTGGGGAGAACCCTCAGTCCCTCACATGCTATGCTGAGATCTGTTCAAGAAAACTTAGAGTATTTCTCTTTAGTGTAAATATTTGCGGTTGGATTTACGTATTACTAGGTTGTATCGCTGAACGACTACTGTGGGAAGCATCCATAGAACCCCACAGCTGAGTATAGCGAGCTGACAGGCAATAACTATCATACTGAAAGACCAACATAACAAATTAACAAACGTTAAAGGAAATTACTTCTCTCAGTTTCTTTTCCAAAATTGATCTCTTCTGCAACCCCACTAGAGCAGGCACTGCGGCCTTTGGAGCTGGCAGAGGAGACAGCGTAGCATGTTGCCGCACCTTTTGCACCATGGCTCATGCCAGTCTCTCCTATAGTCATACCAGTGGTCACTTCATAAAGAATGTTTAATGGATTCACCAATGTTAAGGTCAATGTACATCAATAAGCACTCACAGACACTTCCACTGTTCATACAACCATCACACATTTCAGAACGAGCACGGCATGGTTGCCCTCTTTGTAGTGAGTATTCACTACATAGCCCCAGTAGCTGACAGTGCAGCTAGTCTGGTGTGACCCCCCGCGACCTAGCTCGCGGTGAGTAAGAGGAAAAGAGAAATAGTGATGTAACTTGGTTAGCCTTCAGGTGTATCAGAGTAGAAAAATAGAGAAATCTGCAGTGACCCGAGGTCCATTAGCATCTACCCGTCCGTTGGCCGCTGACCTGCTTGCTTGCATACCCAGGGTGTAGGTGGTGGAGGGTCAAGTAGACCGCGTAGCGGTTCTGGGGGGATCAGTTCCCGTAGGCGATCCTCCGACATCCACTCAGGATCACGTGTGGCTGGCAATTTCACGTAGTATTCGCGTTTCCGATTGCCTCTGCAGGCGTTAAACCGTGCCTCGAGAATCTCACTGTACTCGAGGCAGGGCAGCTCGCGAGGGGGTTGCTGCGGTTTCCCCGCTGGAGTGCGAAGGAACCGCGGGGATTCCCGAAACTCTTTTAAGAAACCAACGTCGATCGTGTGGTAGCATCTCCACGTGGAGGGTAAATCAATGATGTACGCCAAGGTGTTGACCCGAGAGAAGACCGCAAACTGTCCAACCCATCGTGTTGCGAATCTTTTGGGTTGCTCGCCATCTTGCACGCTACGGAGGGCGTGCGATTCGAGTAGCCAAGTCGCCCGGGATGAACCTAACTGCGGGAGGTCTTTTGTCCTAGCTTCCCGCTTGGCGTTCCCGTGCCTTCCGCGTACATTCTCTCGCTGCTGCAAGCTGTGTGCGGAAGTCAGAAGCCGCAATCGATCGGGGCTGGCTTCCAACAGCGAGGTCCAGCGCCGGGTCAGCGAATGGAGTTTCTGTGTGGACCAGGGACGCCGGGGAGCAGCGGGTGGACGAATGCACTGTAGTGATTTTCTGCACAAGCAAGAAAGTCAAGCCAGTTAGATGAGTTATGTTGGATGTAAAGTTGCAAATACTGCACCAGCGTGCGGTTAGTTCGTTCTGTCTGGCCGTCTGACTCCGGATGGCTGGCAGTTGTCATGTTGTGATCAATGTTGAGTCGTTGCATGAGGCTGCGCCAGAAGGCGCTAAAGAACTTCCGATCCTTGTCGCTAATGATGCTTTTGGGGAACGCATGGAGCTTCCACATATGATTAATGAATAGTTGAGCAACTCCTTCTGCTGTGGCGGAGCTCGAGAAGGGAATAAAGTGGGCATATTTGCTAAGCCGATCCACCACGACATATATACTATCATGGCCTCTGACGGGTGATAAGCCCACTATGAAATCCATAGGGATGTCCGTCCAGATCCTATCAGGAATAGGCAGGCTGTGCAGGAATCCAGGTTTGTCGGTGTTTCGCGGCTTTTGCTGCTGGCGGTCCGGACAAGACAGAACGTATTCCTCGACTGAGGGGCGCATCCTAGGCCACCAGAAGGACCTGGCAACATGCTCCACCGTTGTATTGATCCCACCATGACCTGCCAAAGCATGCTCATGCATTTAGCGCAAAAGTTCCGTGCCAAGCGAGGCTGGAACGCACAATCTACGGACACCACGCTTCGTGTGATACCACAGGAGTTGACCATCCGTGCCGTAGTGCTTGACAGTGCTTGACCCGTCGCCCATTGTTGCGCTTAGGTAGGAGTGCAGCCGCATGAGCATCTAAAGAATAAGAGGAACTCAAGTTGGAAAGAAAGCGAGAGTCATAACAGAGAATTGCGGCTGCAGAAAATTGTGGCTGACCTGTAGGGAACATTTCTGTTTCACTGCGATTTTGTTGAGGGGACTGAGGTTGCCTCACACGCGCCACGTGCCGTCCTTTTTCTTCGCCAACACCGGACTGTGCCAAAAGCCGCTACTTGATGGCTGAACCTTGCCCTTTCTTAGAAGTTCATCCGCCTTCCGCTCAATTTCCTCTTCCAGATGTGGGTCGCCGGTACCTTGGAACGAAGCTTGCGGCTGCCCCGGGAATGTGCTGGATGTGGTGCATTGAGCCTCCCGCGGGCGGCCTGCCCGCCGGTAGCTCTTTACTATTGGGTGCATCTGACAACTCTTCCTCTAATTTTACCCACTTCTGCTGTTTTTCGGGTATTAGCTGGATTGAATCCATCACGAGTGCTGCCTTTACCTTACCATAAAGACAGAATATAGTGAATGCTCACTACAACCACGGCAACATTGCCGTTTTCGTTGTGTTGGAGTGACGGTTCATGGAACAGTGGAAGTGTGTGTGAGTGCTTATTGATGTCTATTAAGTAATTAAATGATGAACGTAATAAATGTTGTTTATGAAGAGACGTATTGATATGACTACAGGAGAGGCAGGCATTAGGCTTGGTTCAAAAAGTGTTGGAACACGCCCGCCCGTCTCCTCTCCCAGTCCCAAATGCCGCAGTGCCCGGTCTACTGGGGTTGCAAAACAGAACAATTTTGAGAAAGAAGAGAGAATAATTTCCTTTAAGCTTTGTTAGCTCTGTTAGTTTGCTGCGTAAGATGATATGTCTGAGAGTCTTTAGCAGTTTACTTGAGAGTGCCAGTTAACTTTTGCCTGAGGGCTCGTTAAGCGCAGCTGTGGGGTTCTAAGGGTGCGTCCCACAGTGCTCTTTCAAAAGAACAGCCTCCTTAGTTTATTGAAAAATATTGTATGAAAGTGTAATATTCCTTATTGTCGTGAAAAAATCTCGGCATAGCATGAGACGGACTGAGGGCTCACACCACACATCAGCTTACTGGGCCCGTAGTACCTGCATTACCTCCATTGTTATGGATTCGCAACAGCTTAGCTTGTGAGGGGACTTGGATCCCTACTAGCTCTCACAGTAGAGCTGTTATCTGCGTTTGTCTTCTCGTTGGGGGCACAAGAAGCACAGCTTCGCGCATTGCTTGGTGAATCCATTGACGTGAGTGCGATGAAGCTCCGAGAGCCATATGATCCCTAAGGCCCCAAATTCGCCTGTAGGGGAGTTTCTCACACGGAGTGCATGCATATCTCCGGAGTTCCCTTCAGTGCTTCTGCATTGTATGGAAGCGTCTTACCTTGCCTTTCCTCTGGACAGAGTTTCTACTCCTCTGACCATAGAAGATGCAAATGCTGGTGGAACAGCTGGGCGGTGCACAGTCTCACCACTTCCTGGTGGAAATACCCCTATGGCGTCATCAAAGGAACTCATTTGCGTCCTTCACTGGGTCAGCCACGGCAAGCCTAGGATTATGTCGTGGTGAACTGGTCCAACGTAGAAGACCCTTGTCATATTACTGCACCCGGTTTTGGAAGTAAGAGAGCATTTTGTGCCCATAGTGTTGCCGATTCTTGTATCCTGCCTGCCTTCCGCAAAGCGTAGCCTCAGAGGTGGCACCAATGAATAGACGAGTAGGCTGCACCTCCTTGTTGTGGCTTCTGATATTCGTTCCAGTTCACATCGCGCATCGAGCAGTTCTGCCCTTTAATGCGTCCTTGTACAAGCACTGAGCTGAGTCGTGGTGAATCTGCGGGTGCGGCCATTATCTCTTGTGGCTCCATCACTGCGCCGCACGTTACATGGGGGCTGGGGCGTTTCCCTGATTGATATGTTTGTTCCCTTATCGGCGCTGTTCGATATTTGGTTTCAGTTGCTCCCTTACCTGCCTCATATGCCAAAGATCTCGAAATACGTGACCCTCTCCATTGGAAAAGGCGCGAGTGCGCCTTTCCGCATCTCCCTTTTGCTTTGGGGGGGTTGAGTTCACTCCGCTCTCGGTCACTCCTTGGGGCTCGCCCCCCTTTTGGCTGGCCTGGCGCTCACAGCCCCAATATCCGTAGGCTTCAAATCATTATCATTCCCAGACACGCTTTCTTCCTTTTCGGCGTAGGCTGTGGAAGTGACATTTTCCCTTTCTTTTCTGCGAAGGTACTACATCTTGCTAGCGAGTTCCATTCCACCCCCTCCTTTCCATGTCCCTAGCCCAGCCGGTTACTGATTGACCGTCTCCGGAGGACAGCCCTGGTATAAACGCATTATAGGGCAGTTTTGGATCCGCCATATGGCTTCAGTTCACCACAAACTGATATTTCACAGTTTAACGCTCTATTGAAACCTTTTCTTGCTTACGTTTCCTCAGTTCCTCCATGGCCTGCTCACGTGCGGACCTCCGGATGAACCAGCATCGTAGCGTATCCTGGAAGGTACGCATGGACACGATGCTCTCCGGAAGGGTAAAGCCTTTGCTGAAATGTAGCCACCACCGCTGGGCAACCCCTTTTATTCACGGGCATTTTGTAAGCGAAGGTACAAGTATACAGGACTAAGAAACTCTCCCACGGTCTCTGCGTCCTGGCGCTCATCATATCGCATAGGACGGCACAGCCGGAGGCATTCCTCCTGAATTAGTTTTGGCGAGAGTGCACTTTCTCCGGTATTGGATGGCGAAATAGAACTGGCTTCTGCTTGGTGAGGCGCCAGACCGTGCGTCGACCCCCAATCTGGGAGCGGATCATAATCTCCACTTTGCTGAAAGGAAACAGCTGAAATTGAAAGAGACCTTGCTGCAGAAAAGGGAATGGGTTTTACTTTATTTTATTTTTTTCCAGCAATGCTTGAGGCCACCCGTGTGGGGATTGGAGTCCGTGCTCGCACCTGCCCCGCTGAACCATGCGGTGCTGCCAAGTATAACAGTTGCTCCCTGGCCTTAATCTATGACAGAAGTGAGCAGCAATGTAGATAAAGAGTCAAACTAAGAGTTTCCCAAAAGCAGCTGACCGCCCTCCCCTGTCTTCAGGTGTGCTCGTCGTCGAGCTACGGCTTGGGTGTTGCGGAGAGGAGGCAGCCTGAAATGGTGTTGCAGCTCACCTCGCTGCGGCTGGTAATGCAAGCCAGCCTCACGCTTGCGCAAAAGGAAGCTTCAGCGAAGCCCCCTTAGTTGCATGCGCTACCACTAAAACCACTCATGGAACGGTTCCATTTGCTTACACACAATTTACCTAGGCTAAGTGAAGGCTCCTGCAGTCACTGTAAGCAGACCATGCTGCAATCATAGATATGTAGTATAAATATTCTATATATTGTTAATAGTATATACCATATATACGCAGTAATCGTGTTTATATGCAGATACATTATATAGTACATATCTCTATATTATATATATATATATATATATATATATATATATATATATATATATATAAATGTGGTTTAAGTCAAGAGGACTTACATAGGGAAAAGGCCCTGGTTAGCTGCGCGGAAGCCCCAAGCCGTTAGCTCTAAACCCTTTAATTCCTATACTCTGAGCCCTGAATCCTTAACCTGAAACATAAACACCCCAGCACTAGACTCTGCAGAATAAACGCTGAACGTGAGACCCTGAACCCTAAACCCTAGACGCTGAACAGTGAACCGGAAGCTCTTCTAACCCCTGAACCCGAAACACTAGACCCTAGACCTAAACTCGAGGCCAAAATCCGAAACACTCAACCTCAATCCCCAAACATCAAAACCCTAAACTCATCATCTGATGCCTAAACGCCGAAACCGTGTTCCTAGGTTCTAAATCCTGAACCCTAAGCACTTTACTCTAACCCTATACCTTATACCCTTGAGATTTAACCGTAACCCTAAGCCCTAAGCCCTAAACCTTGAAGCGCTAAAATGTATCTCCAAAAGCCGTAGCTCCACAATTGCAGGATCCTAAACCGTAACCGTAGCAAGGAAGCCTAAGCCCTAAAGTCTCAGGCCTCAAAACTAAACCCTGACCCCTAAACTCCAAACTGTTAGGTGTTCTTCTTGGACGGTGTTTCCTGCACAATGCCGTTGGAGCGAGCAGCTTAAATTTATAATTTATGTTGAAATTAGTGGTGGGGTTTCTGCGGGGTTTCGGTATACTGTGGCGAACAGTCGTGCATTTGCGCAGGCTGTGCCTGATTGGAAATGCGTTATCACGTTCCCAAACATTGTGCAATGACTTGTTGAATTCTGCTTTTGGTATTGTTGGCTTATTACAAAGCCATCCATTGGATGAAGGAAAGTAAAATACAGCTCTAATGGCGAGCACGCACTTACTGCGAATTAAATAAACAAACCTCCTGAGTAGTCCAATCAGACTCCAGCATCCATCACGCTCTTCAGAACATCTGTAATACCTGCATGACATACATGGACTTCAAACGGTAAGTTGGAGCCGATAAACATTTGGCGTTTGGAAATCATCTTTCAAGAGCTTAAAGTTGAAAAGGCGATGCCGGTTTCTACGTCCAGCGCCATCTCGACCGCAATGCAACATCACGCAGTTGTTGCCCCACCAAGAAAGCGAGGAAGAGCCGCACACACAAGTCCCCACTTGAGACCCGAAGCGTGATAGCTGCTTTCGGCGTAGGTTTGCTGAACTACTAAGTCGCTGTATTAACAACGAGATTGCGTGAAGTGAACACCACAAGACGTGAGACACTCAGCGGGGCAAGAATTTTTGGATAGCGCTAGGGGTTGGCAACCCATTGACACTTCAGCGGCCGTGCATGCTACTATATTGGCTACTAGTGAGTGCAGGTCCTCAAAGAGTTGCAGCGAAATAAGGGGGCAATTAAAGGCAGATAGAGCATGTCAACCAGGCACAGCCTTTGCCACTGTATATGCGACTTTATAAAGGACTGAATTTCGAAGGGTTTGCTGAAGGGTTTGCTGTGGCGAATGTGTGGAAATACTGCTGAGCAGAAGACTCATTGCTCGCGCTGTGTATACTGCAAGGCAGCATACAAGAAAAAAATTCGGAAGTGTGTATGAAACTAGTGGTATAAACAAAGGTATTCGAAGGAAGGCGTCCGATTATCCCTTGCCAAATTCAGCCCATGCTGAGCACACACCTGACTGCAACTGCACTTTACTACTTTCATACCATTAAGTACAAGCAATACGCATGCAAACCCACCTTGGCAGCCGACCAGAGCAAGGGATGCTTTTCTAGCCACCGTTTCTGGCATCTGCCTTGCCGTATACAGCACAGCCATCAACAGCTCCGTCCCTCTCCATCTCCACTATACACTAAAATGTAAGGCTGTTTTCGAATGGAGCCTC